AAGAAGAAGAAGAAGAAGAAGAAGAAGAAGAAGAAGAAGAAGAAGAAGAAGAAAGAGGAGAAGGAGGGAATGAGGAGGAGTAGAAGAAGATAGGAGAAGGAGGGAATGAGGAGTAGGAGAAGATAGAAGAAGGGAATGAGGATGAGAAAGAAGAGAAGGAGAAGAGATAAGAAGGAGAAGAAAGAGAAGAAGGAGGAATGAGGAGAGAAGGAGGAGGTGAGAAGGAGTAGAGAAGAAGAAGGAGCAGGAGGGAATGAAGAGGAGGAAGGAAGGAAGGAAAGAAACCAGAAAGAAAGGAGGAGGGGAAGGAGGGGAGAAGAGAAGGGAAAGAGGAGAGGAGAAACGAGATGAAAAGGAAAAGGAGAAGATGGAGAAAGGAGAAGGAGTGAGATGAAGTGAGATGAAAAGGAGAAGGAGAAAGAGAAAAAAGAGAAAGGAGGCGGCGGCTTTTCTGTGATTCATGAAAATCAGCATGGTTGTTAATGGAGTGTGAAATCTCCTACTTTGTTCACAAGCCAGAGTTAGCATTCACAGCAATTTTTTTTTTTAACTTGGTTGAACAATAAATCACATGCATTGTCTACATTGCCTTGTGGAAGTGAATCTTTTCTTTCTGTTTCTTTTAGGTGGATGTGGACTAAGGTGTGTTGATCAGAAAGACAACAAAAGTCTGGATAGTGGATTCGGCAAAACTGGAGACAGCAGAAGAGAACAGAAAGAACCAGAGAAGATCACAAACTACAAAGACCTGTAAATAGAAGCAGAATGAAAGAAAGCAAAGATAATACCAAGAGTAACTGGCATCTTGGGTGCAAACCCCAAAGATCTGGAGCACTATTTGAACACCATTGGCATTGGCACAATCCCCACCAGTCAATTGCAAAAGGCAGCTTGACTTGAAACAGCTGACATCCTGCACGGAGACTTTTGACACCCCCAAACATCCACATCTGCCTAGCCCAAACTCAATATCTGGACAAAAATGCAAATTCTGGTGTAAACATCTGGCTGGCTGTGCAACCAATCATATTAAGTCAGGTTTACAAGTCACGATATAGAATCTGTTTTTACTGAACCGTGAAACCAGAGGCAAAGCAGGATGCCACATTGAAGACTCAGCTTTTAAATGCAAAAAATATATATTTATTTAGAAAGGGTGCAGCACAGCACTCCGGAGGAATTAGATGTTTGTGGTTACACAGTGTAAGAGGCCTGCAGATTTTCAGGCACAGATAGAAGGATATTAATCTTGCGTACAGAATGATGATGACATTGGAGAAGCATACAATTGTTGAAGGGGATCTAAAATGTCATCTATTCATCCCCCTGAACACCATTTTTCCTTATGGAAGATTGAAGAACCCAGAAAGACAGAGGTGATACTGATTTGGTAGGCTGAACTCAAGAGTCTCCTGGTGATTGGCCCAAAGTCATCTAACCTGGTTTCATGCCTGAGCCTGAACTAGAACTCACAGTCTCCTGGTGATTGACCCAAAGTCATTCAATCTGGTTTCATGCCTAAACCTGAACTAGAACTCACAGTCTCCTGGTGATTGACCCAAAGTCATTCAATCTGGTTTCAAACTTAACGCTGGACTAGAACTCACAGTCTCCTGGGGATTGGCCCAAACCCATTCAACCTTGTTTCATGCCTAAGCCTGGACTAGAACTCACAGTCTCCTGGTGATTGGCCCAAACCCATTCAACCTGGTTTCATGCCTAAGCCTGGACTAGAACTCAGTCTCCTGGTGATTGGCCCAAAGTCATCCAATCTGATTTCAAGCCTAAGCCCAGACTAGAACTCACAGTCTCCAGGTGATTGGCCCAAAGTCACCCTGTAGATTTTTTATGGCTAAGGCAGGACTCGAAGTCAGCCTCCCAATTTCTAACCTGGTGCGTGAAATGAAACGAAACGAAAACTGGATCTGGAGAGACGTAGGTCCTCGCCCCCGTTAGAAAGATGTTTATTGTTTATTACAGTCCTGGGAAGCCATGTCAGAGGATGATGCCCGGCTGGGTTTTTGATAGTTGCGATCCTAAATAGGAGGCGTCGCGTGACGTGAGAGGAGTTCGCAGAGCCAGCAACAGCAGAGGGCTGTGCAACAGCCTTCCAGCCAGCCAGCCGCATGTGCCTGTTCCCTGGTGTGTATCGGCTCCGTCACATAGACACGGACTGGTGGTGAGGGATATCCATAAGGGGGCGGATATCCCGGTGGTGGGTAGCCTGCATAGGGGCCAGGCATAGGGGGTGGTTGGAGGGGTGGGGGCGGGGACGGTATGGGTGGTGTTGGTGGCGGTACACCTGCCATCTTGTCACCCTAAAGCTCTTTGGCCTGCCTTCTCTGGCCAGCCGGTTGCTTCGTCTCTCCTTCCGGTGGATGAAAACGTTCTTGGGACTGCGAAGTTCCAGGAAGCTGTGACTGTCACCACCCATGGAGTAGGAACAAGGTGGTTAAGGTCATTCTGGAAAAGAGACAAGCAAACCACAGAGTTGCAATGGCTTCTTCCTTCCTTCCATCCATCCATCCCTATTTCTATAGTATCTATCTATCTGTCTGTCTGTCTATCTATCTATCTATATCCATATTTTCATCCATCCACCCATCTCTACCAATCTATCTCTACAGTGTCTGTCTCCCCCTCTCATCTATCTATCTATCTATCTATCTATCTATCTATCTATCTAT